TGCAGATGAGACAGAGACTGGGTACTGGGTATGGGGTATGGGGTCCAGGCTCCAGTGCTCTGGGTTAGATGATTCAACGATCCAGCGGGGACTGGGGACATACTTACTGGTATGTCTTTGAATTGTGGGAGCAAAAACACAGTCAAGAGGAAAACATAAAAAGCACATAGGGAGAGGGATCCCCCTGGGTTCACTCGGGATTTTCTTTCATGAAATAAAAACTCATTCCAGTGCAACATTTATTAACAATATCACATTTGATGGTATGTGTTAAGAGTGACATTTGCCCAGCAGAGGGCGGTGCACACCAGTAGAATATAAAACTGTTTGCATATAGTTTAAAGGTTTAATTCATAGATGGTGGCTGTATTCATTGATAATTTTGATATATGATTCAGATTAATTTAATTTAATTCTTTAAATGATGTTTGAGCTGTTCACCCAAGAGCTGACAGTTAATCTGGGCTGTAAATTGATAGTTTGCAGTTAAATAAAGCATAAATAAGTGGAAGTGGGGTTACAGTTAATCTGAGCCCACGTATCTTAGGAAATAATGTCAGGTTAACTCTATGTAGAATCACCTAAATGACCAAATCAAGTAAATGCATTTTACTGACATGTTAGTTATTTGGATATTATAAAATATATTTAAAAAATATATACATAAAATGTGTGTGTGTGTGTGTGTGTGTGTGTGTAAATGAACAGTGCATGATTACATTTCATACTTATAATTTGCCCCAAAATGTATGAGATCTTCACACCTTCAAAACCCTAAAAGGAAGGACACTAAACCATTTACCATTTTTAACTTGACATCTGGGTCATGTTTGTTTGAATCTTTATAAACTGTGTGCAGTTACGAACATGTTTGCTGTGTTTCTCTGAAGTTTGCCTTTCACAGAACTCTTATTTCCACATACAGAACCAAAAGTGTGAGATTCAGTTTTTCTAGATTTGCCTCATTTTATGTGCATCCAAGACAGTTGCATATTAATATTAACCAAATGTTTCATGGAATATGTTTCAGATTTGGAGTAAGTACTTTAGAGTACTGCATGGGGTATGTGATACTTTTCACTGTTTTAAACAACAACAATCCTCACTAAAACAGAAGCCCATGTTCACTAAGAGCAACTTATCAAAAAGACACTGTTCAATGCAACTTCAATGCAGTCTTAGTGTTATTACCAGAACTATTTTGCACTTGTCAGGGTAGTTACTTGGCTGAAAACAATTTCAAAGGGGGTACCTTATTACAAAAGTTGAGAACCACTGTCCTAGCACAGTTTTTTTGTGTATGTGTCTATACTCTATGTACCATGTATGAGTATGGGAACCTGTTCATACGTGATTATTCAGTGCTTACGTACACCAGGAGAGATGAGGGAAACCCTGGCCACCAAGCCACATGGACCCCACCCTTATCAGCTGAGCCCAGACTCACAGAGCAAGATGTTTCACCACCCAAACATCACCTCCCATCCAATCACACACACGCCCACTGGACGTCACATCTATCTGGGAACCAGACCTGGTGGTAAACAGATGTCTGGTGGGAGGAGATATACAATGTTTTGAAGTCAATAGTGCCAGCCTGCTTCAGAGCTAAACACCAGACCAGCAGCACTCTCTTAAATGGCTTGTTAGAATGTGCCTTGTCTCCAAGGACTTCAACCTAACATGGTTTATTCTGTGATTTTGTACACAACTCAAGACGGGAAGGAAGTTTTCAAGAAGGAAACTGAGGTAAGAAAAAAAGAATACAGAAAAAATAAATACTATGAATTTACAATGGTTCAATTTGAGCAATATTTCTTAAAAAGACCTGTTCTCACAGTAAATTGGGTAAATATGTGTGTTGTTGTTTTGTGTGTATATCATTACTACTCTCATGGAGAACATGTGTTTCAAATTTGTAATGTGGAAATACGTGAATCATGAGACCATGGTAAGCTTATTCTATCCCTCAAAATGATCAAAATGTGTTCTCAACAACAGACACATCCATATTCTCAGTAATGGTCATTATATGTTAAGCATGCCTGCAGATGTTACTGTGAACTGCCATTGTGATTAAAACTACTGCGTGGAAGTAGTGCATTTCTCTGCCAGTAATGTACAGTTCTTCTAATAATACAAGTGAAAGGAAAAATCGTTAGATTAGGTTTTCACATTTTGTATGCATGATTCAATGAAAACATTCCTTGAAAACACTGAAAAATTGAAAGACTGGCTGACTACATTTCTGCTCCCTACAAGTCAGATCCCTACAAGAGAAATAACCACCAAATTCATTTGCAGTGGAAACCTACCTGGAGAAGTTCAGTGAGCAGGTCATTGCTGGGTTGAGATCACCCAGAGCCAGAGGCCTAGATCTCACAGAGAACCATTAGTGCAGCTCTTACAGCACAGGAACAAATGAGGGTGCTGTTTCATGTTGTGGAAAGGAGACATCACAAACCGAAGTTAGCTTCTACCACAGGAGGATCTGAGCCTAGAGCTGATTTAGGTAAGGCAACCCTGTTAAAAATTATACCAACATGTTTTAAACACCAGCATAGTCTATTATTAGGAAATGAAAACTGTTACATACTTGGTATGACAAACAAATTTCCCTTTTTACAAAGGTGTAACAACCATTCCCACCTTTCAGCCATTGTTCAGCTAGCTGTAGCAGCATGTTTGTTAATTATTTTGTATATTAAATGCAGCACATTTTATCTATGCAGAATAGAGACTAATAAGTAACAGAGTAACAGAATTAGTAACAAGTAACAGAATTCTAACTCCAGCAATCTATTCAAAATATAAACTTGGTCCAAAACATAATTTTCTTACCTGAAAATCAGTATTTGGGTTGTAAAATCTGCACACAGTTATGACATTTCACACGTAAAGTTAGGTCAAAAGTGGTCATACATTGACAACACATGGTTCTTAATAAAGGCTAATCCCTTCTTGGTGAAAGTGGTGCTTGTAACAAAATCCCTTTGTTACATCAATCACCGTTCTCCTTATTTTATAAAGCACTATTTAATATATATAACTATTACCAGGATACATGGTAAATAAATTGTCATTTTACAACGCTGGGTTAGATAGTGAAACTCAGGTTGTATGTATATATGTAAGTATATATACATATGCACAAAAATAATATACAGATAATATACAGTCAAATTGATAAATAAGTCACAAAAAGAATAATAGAATATGCATTGTATATGAAACTACTCAACAGTATATAAATTAGCTATCAATAAAGAGAATAAACATACTGAAAATGTTCAATTGTGGTTTCACTTGTGCCACCATCCTGATTCTTTTCGGGCCTGGTTTAACACAAAATAAGATGCAGTGGAGCTCGGCGAGTGATATCTGTCTCCATTTCTTGACCAACAGAGCAGAGACAACAGAACTGAACTGAACAGAACAATGGAAAATACGAAGCAATTAGAAGACGAAGAAACAAAAAACATGACAACCATAAAGGAGACAATTAAAAGACAAAGACAACTAACATGTCAAGTAATGGAGGAGATTGAACAACTTTGGGAAGAGACACAAAGACAGAGAGATGAAAATGACCACTTGAAGACAAAGACAGAGCAGCAACAAGAGGACATTGACACGCTGGGATCTGAAAAACATGAGCAGCACTTATTGACAGAAAGACTGAGCCTGCAGATAAAAAATATTGTTGAGAAGCTCGAGAAGAATAAAAATGCTGCCACTCATGAAAAAATACAACTTCAGAAGATGTGGGCTGAGATATACCAAGAGAGAGAAACTCTGGAAAGAAGACGAAAAGAGATCATCAGTGAGCGGCACAAGTTGGAAATGATTAAGTATGATAAGACAACATCACAAGAAAGTAAGGAACCTGAAGAGGCCATGGAGCGGGAGATAATGGAGAGGCTGGTGGCTGACATGAACAAAAATAAGAAAACACTGCTAGAAGCAAAGCAGGAAAAAGAACAAGTGCAGAAAAACATGGCGGACATAAAGCAAGAGTTGAAGAGAAATAGAAAAGATATTTCACACTATAGAGATCAAATTGAGCACATCAAACAAAATGTGACTGTAAATATTAACAAGATGAAGCAAAGGTGGACCAAAATTCAAATAGATGTTCAAATGCAGAAAGCCACAGTCCTAGAGATGGAAAGCAAAGAAAGACAGAAAAAAGGAAGAGACACATTTGACACTGTGAGGATGAAATTCAGCAGAATCCGAGAAGAGATACAGAAACTTTGGGATGTGCTGGAAGACAGTGAACCACAACTGGAACAGCTAAAGACAGAAAAATCTGACTCTGAAAAGCAAAGACCAGACACAGATGTAAGCATGAAGCTAACACAGTGGGAAACAGAGATGCAGTGGCAAAAACAAGACATAGAGAACCAGTTGGCACAGGTTCAGTCTGAAAGAGATGACATAGAAAGAACCAAAACTAAAATGCAGATGGAGAGAGAGAACATTGAGAGGGAGAGGCAGTTAACTAAAGCAGAAATGGATGCAATGAAGTGTATGAGGGAGAGCATTGAAAGGCAAAAGCAGGAGCTGGATGACAGGTTACAGAGGACAAAGAGAGAGATGAGAGAGCTGGAAGTCATGAACACTGAGATTGAAATAAAGAAAAATGACCTGGTGAAAATGATAAGAATGAGCAGGAGAAAAAAGGAAGAGATCAGCAAGATGAAGGGTGAGACTGCTGAAGAAGACACAGAGGAAAGACAAGATATGACTAAGGTGCAGAGGTCAAAGCAGGAGGCGGAGGACAGATCTAATGAGCAGAAACGGTGTGACAGTCCCAAAGAAATAACACAACCTGAAGAACATCAGTTTGAGGAGGACAACATGGAGACTAGTAACGAGAACGAAGTGAAAACAAACTTGCAGAGTGTGATTTTCGAAGTAGAAGAAATCAGAAAGAAGCTGCGCAAGGTGAGAGAGGATGCAGATCAAAGAGGGAGAGAAGTTCCCGAAGAAAAGAGTCAAATCAAATGGATGAATTTTCGAGCAAAAAAAAAGCAATGGGAGCTCGACCAACGACTGGAGAAGACCTTGAGAGAGAGGGATGAGTTAGAAATTGTGAAGATAAAGATACATGGACAAAGGGAGGAGGTTGAACAGAAACTGGAAGATGCAGCAACTACAATAGTGACTATGGGTGTGATGAAAGCTAACATAGAAAAAGCTGCTGCTGAGATTAGCAGTACCCGGGAGGAGATGCTCAAAGTCCAGAGGAAGATGGAGGAAAACAAGGAAGAAGTCAAAAAGTTCATGGTAAGTAAATCTTTTGTTAACAACCTGGTATCACGCCAAAGCATTTAATACACGCACTGGTCCACCGTGGCGATGTCATGTTTTCAGCACGTGCTCATTCTGCAGTCAAGTTAGCAATAATACATTTGTATCATTCGGTTACATTTTCAAACTGAAGCTTGCTGAGGTCACAATGTTGTTAGTTGTTAGTTTTTTGGGATTCCTCCAATACTGGCCAATATCCAAAGAAATGGTATCAGAACATCTCTTTATACTGCACCTTTATACCATCAACATATGTAAAGATGGACGACATGACAGCTCTCCAAAAGTGAAGCTAAAACATCTTGATCGCCCTCTGGTGGCTAACTGCTGTACAGGTCATAAAGCACACTGCCTCCCTGTTAACAGACAGGACATGGACCAAACTAAAAGATGTTTTTTGTCATTTTCGGTAGTTCTTCTCACACTGATGTATGTTCAATTGTTCATTTAATAAAACATTTTTTTAATGCTATTTAACTCCAATCACTACTGCACAGACTCTGGTTCTGAGTGGTGAAAGACGGCAGCAGTAGTATCCAGGATATTTTGGCTTTATTTTTGTACAGTGGGAGGGAGTGGGGATGCGTACAGCAAGCCTAGTCTAGTGAGAAATAATGTCAAGTCAATATAGCTAACTTTATCTAAGATAGTGGTGCAGAAGTTAATTTTAGTATACAGGATGGTTTTAATCTGACATGATTTAAAGGAAAAAGCTGGAGATATTCTATATATCCATTATAGTGTTACTTTCAATAATCCCATGAAAAGGCCCAAAGCAACAATTTGTTTATGTAACTCTCAATACTGGCCCCTACTGAAGACATAAGTCTTTGAAAACATCTAAAAAGAATTGTTTTTAAAGCTCAGTAATTACCAAAAACAGTGGGACAATGTAATTTTTTAGCAAATGTTACTCAAACAGGAGGAAACAGTTCATATATTGAGGACTATTTTTAGTGGCAGATTATTACATATTTGGCACACTAGTGAGTATTTGGGGCTGGGTCAAAATAAACTACAGTTCATGGTAATAAAGGAACATTTCACCCAGTGTGGCTCATCAATGTGTTTTAATAGTTTTCGGACAACAATGGAGCTCTATGGCACAGAGGAAAAAGATAAATCAGGCTTTGATACACACAACACTTAGTTAGTAGATACATTCATTGGTTTAGTTTGATGGTATTAAAAATAGGTAATATCACAAGCCTGATCCTTTGACGTATGTGATATTAACATGAGAAACAGTAAGAAAAACATCTTTCATTTTTTGTAAAGGATAAACTGAATTCCATGAAAGCTTGGGTCAGCAAATGGATATTGACAGAACCTGCAATCAAAAAGACTTTTTCAGTGAATACATCTAAGTTTCAAGAACCCCAGAAAGAAACACACAAAGACACCCTCAAAGATCCAACACTGGGAAATGTAACAGACAAAAAAGGAGCAGAAGAGGAAATTACAAAAGATGCCATGTTTTTGCAACAATCTATAACATCTGAAGACCAGCATCAAAGTGACAAAATAAAAGACGAGGAGCATATGCATTCAGAACACAAACAGAAACAGGAATGCCGTTTTTTTGCAGTGGACATTGAGGAAGAGCAGAATGTTTTCTTACAGGTGCAAACTGAAATACATGAAGAAATATTAATGGATGAGAATCAGACAGAATTAACAATACATTTAAGAGAAAAGGCCAAAGTGGAAAAGCAGATATTAAAACTTAAGGAGACAGAGGAGAAAATAAAGGAGCAAATGGAGTACGACTTAGAGGACATGCAGAAAAAAAATGAAGAGATTAAAAGGCTTGTTATGGAAATAAATAACCTACAGAGTCAGAGACCAGAAACTGGTGGAAATGTGGAGGAAGGAGCGACTGGAGTGCTGAAAGAAACAGAACAAAAATACATTTTGAGGGTAAACACAAATGTTTTTAAACATGAAATATTTAAATATATAGTGGGAAAAGAGGAGAATGGCAGTGAGTTGAAGCAAGAAGTAATTGATGAGTCTGACTTGATGAGAATGGAATTTGAGGAGCAAAAGCAAAGCCAGGAGATTGATGAAGGTTGTTATAAAAAGGACCCAGTGAGTGATGATATACAAAGACTTAGGGCAGAGATTTATAAAACACAGGAAATCATAAGATTAGTCGTACTAGAACTTCAAAACCAAGCTGAAGAAAGTAACATCAACAAAGATCATAAGGAAGAAGATGGTGAAGTTCAACGATTGCTACAAGACATTAAACAATTCCAAGAGCTTTTAAAAATGGTAAAAACTGCAATGATGCAAAGTGAAATAGATCTAAAAGAAGAAATGAACAACATGAAATGGATGAAAATTTGTGCGAAAAAAAAGAGAAGAGAACTGGATCAGAGGTTTGAAAAAACTTTGAGAGAGAGAGATGAATTAGATATTTTAAGAATAAAACTGCAGAAACTAACCGAAATGACTGAGCGGAAGCTGGAGAAAATGGCAAATGTTAAGAAAACCATGGAAAAAATGGCTGCTAAGACTAGAATGAAAAGTGAAGACGTAGAGATTACTATAAAGCAGACCAAAGTAAAACAGAGACAGGTAGAGGACATGAGCTGTAAGATTGAGGCGACAAAACAAGCACTGGAAAACAGCTATCTTTTCTTATCCCAGGAAAGAGCTGGCTTTGAAAAATTCAAGGCTGAAATCAGGCAACTAAAGAACAGAAAATCTGCCCTGGAAAATACTGAAAGACAGAATGGAAACATAAGGAAACATGTCAGAGATGAAACAGACCAAATGGGCAAAGAAATTGAGGGAATGGAAAATGAAATCTTCAGACTCAGATCAGAAAATGAGAAACTGGAGGAGAACATAAAAATGATAAAGGACAGTTTGGATCAGAAAAATGGAGAAATTGAACAACTGAAAAGGGCAATAAGTCAGCTAGTGAAACAGAAGACGGAAAGAAAAGACAGTGAGATTCTGAAAAAACAGATTCAAGTAGAGAGCGAGAATGTGAGAGTAGCAAGACAACAAGCTGAGGCAGAAATACATGAGATGAACTGTTTAAGGGAGAATACTCAAAGACAGAAATGGGAGCTTGATGACAAAGTGCACACGACCAAAAAAGAGTTAAGAGAAATGGAGCTGCTGAAGTTAGAGCTGGAAATAAAGAAAAAAGAAAATGAACAGATGTTCAGAAAAAGTATGAGAAAAAAGCAGGAGTGTGAAACAATGTGGAATGAAATACAAAGAGAGAAGAAAATACTGAGGAGGGATACCAAAAAGATAAGAAATGAATTAGACCAAAGACTGGAGAAAACCATGAGAGAGAGGGATGAGTTAGAAGTATTGAGGATAAAACTGCAGCGACAGAAGACAGAGCTGGCTGATGAAAAGAAGAGTATCAAAGACAGGACTGTTCATGTATGCAGAGAACATAAAAAACAAAGTCTGGAAAAAAAGGAAGTGGAAAGCATCAGAGGGAAAGCTGAAATGGTAAACCAAAGTTCAAAAGTCACCAATTCAATTACTGATCTTGAAAACATGAGTCAAAAAATGCATGTACATTTAGAAATAATTAGGGGGGAAATGGGAATTCTGGAAAATGTAAATGCTCAGTTGGAGAAACAAGTAGCATTACAAGCTGAGAACAGGACCGTAAGAGACAACATGAGCAGAGTAAAATCTCAGATAAAGATGGACTTGGAAAAAATAACTATACAAGTGAAAGCAGAGAGGGATGAAATTGTCCACATGAGGGCCGATATCCAAAAACAAAAACAGGAGCTTGAAATCAGACTGGAGAAAATTAAAACCGAAAGAAGAGAGATGGAAGTGTTGAAATCTGAGTTGGAAATCAAAAAAAGAGAAAATCAACAAATGCAAAAAGGCATTCGAAAAGAGCAGGAAGTTAAAAATATGTGGGCTGAGGCCAAAGGAGAAAAAGCTGCCCTCAAGAGGGAGAAACAGAAGTGGGGGAAGGAGCTCGACCAGCGACTGCAAAGGATCATCAAAGAGAGGGATGAACTAGAGATCATGAAACTGAAGCTGCAAATAGAAAAAGGTGAGAGCAAAAGTGGAATGAAAGAGAGGTTTCCTACTCAAACTCAAAAGCACTGGGAAATAATCCAGACATGTATGGAGAGATTTAAATTTATGAAAAAACACAGTGAAGATTTGAATGGAGCAATTAAAGATGAAAAACAACACATGGAGGCTCAGGCAAAAATTATGACCCAGGTAAAAGAGGAAATGGAAGATCTCAAGATGGAGATGAAAAGAAAAAAGGAAATGATCATATGTGCTTTGAAGAACATGCAACAAGTGGAGATGAATATAATGGAAAAGAAAAACTCAATAGAGAAAGAAAAGGAGAAAATCATAGAAAAATCTGACATCCAGAAACAAAGTAAATTATTAGAAAAGGAGAAAAAGGACATAAAAGAGGGAAGACACAAGTTGGACATCACAAAAGCTGAGTTAGAAGAGAAGAAAGAACATGCAGACAGTCTGTTTGATGAGATAGACACAGAGAAGGCCAACATTAAACACCTGACCCTTCAAGTTCAGACAAAAAGCAAACAAACTTTGAACATGTCATGAACATGATTACCTTAAAACAACAAGAACAAGAACTCAAGAAATGAGTAACAAAAGGAAAACAAAGAACTGGTAATGAGTAAGAACACTGTGCTAACAGAAAGAGGAGAACTGGACGTTTTGAGGAAGGATCTGAACAAGAAGAAAGAAGAGGTTGAAGCTGCCATGAACAGCATCACTAGAGAGAGAGAACAACTGAGTAAAATGAAGACTGACAATGAGAAAGAGAAAGAAATTATTTTAATTGAAAAGGACAGAATAGAAGGGCAATGCTCTGAACTGAAGAGGAGACAAGATCAACTCGTGAATGAAATGAAATCAATACAAACTCTGAGAAGGAAGCTTCAACAGCTTAACCCAAAGGATCATTGAAGACATGAAAAACAAAATGGACAATTTTGCAACAAAGGTCTGAAGATGTGCAAATGCTGTACACTGTATTGGAACAAAAGGTGGCAGACCTTGATGGAGAAAAAGCAAAAATAATTTCTTACACTGACATGTTAGAGAGAGAAAAGGAATGTCGGAAAGTTATACCGTCAGATGTGGTCATCCAGAGAGAAGACATGAAAATCAGTGGAGCAAGGGTTTGAGTTGGAAAAACAAGATCTAGAAAACTGAAGTCAGAGTTTAAAGGAAGAGAGAGACGATCTGGATAGAATGAATGAGATGGTGTACAAAGAGAGACTGGAATAGAAACCAGTTAAGAACAGTGTGCTTACAGAAAGAGGAGAACTGGAAGTTTGGGGAAGGATCTCCAAAAGAAGAAAGAAAGAGGTCGACATTGCCATGAACAGCATCAGTGGAGAGAGAGAACAACTCAGTAAAATGAAGACTGACAATGACAATGAGAGAGAGATACTTTTATTGAAAGGGACAGAATAGAAGTTGAAAGGTCTGAGGTGAAAATAAAAGAAGATGAAGTCATGAAGATAATGAAATCAAATGGAAACTCTGAAAGTGAAGCTTCAATTTGTGAACAATAGGATCAAGAAGACATGAAAACAAAATGGACAGTTTGCAACGAAACTGTGAAGGTATGCAAATTCTGTACGCTACATTGGAACAAAAGGTTACAGCACTTGATGGAGAAAAAGAAAAAATGGCTTATTACACTGAGTTGTTAGAGAGAGAAAAGGAGGGTATTGCAGGTATATGTCCGATGTGGTCACCCAGAACAGGACATGGAAAATCAGTGTAAGCAAGGGTTTGAGTTGGAAAAAACAAGATCTTGAAAAAACTGAAAGCAGTGCGAAGCAAGAGAGAGGAGGATCTGGGATAGAGTAATGAAGATCCATGAACAAAGAAGACTGAGAGAGTGATGAGTCTGGAAATTCAGAAAAAAGTAAATTATTAGAAGGAGAAAAAGACATAAAAGAGGAAAACACAAGTTGACATCACAAAACTGAGTTAGGAACAGAGAGAAGACATGGAAAATCAGTGGAAGCAAAGGGTTTGAGTGGGAAAAACAAGATCTAGAAAAACTGAAGTCAGAGTTAAAAGGAAGAGAGAGAGACGATCTGGATAGAATGAATGAGATGGTGTTACAAAGGAGAGACTGGAACTAGAAACCAGTAAGAACAGTGTGCTTACAGAAAGAGGAGGAACTTGGAAGTTTTGGGAAGGATCTCCAAAAGAAGAAAGAAGAGGTCGAACATTGCCATGAACAGCATCAGTGGAGAGAGAGAAAACAACTCAGTAAAAATGAAGACTGACAATGACAATGAGAGGAGAGGATACTTTTGATTGAAAGGGACAGAATAGAAGTTGAAAGGTCTGAGGTGAAAATAAAAGATGAAGTCATGAAGATAATGAAATCAATGGAAACTCTGAAAGTGAAGCTTCAATTGTGAACAATAGGATCAATGAAGACATGAAAAACAAAATGGACAGTTTGCAGAACGAAACGTGTGAAGGTATGCAAATTCTGTACGCTACATTGGAACAAAAGGTTACAGCACTTGATGGAGAAAAAGAAAAAAATGCTTATTACCACTGAGTTTGTTAGAGAGAGAAAAGGAGGGTATTGCAGTATTACTGGTCCGATGTGGTCACCCAGAGACAGGACATGGAAAATCAGTGTAAGCAAGGGTTGCGTGAGAAGAAAAGAAGTCTGAGACGTTTGAGTTGGAAAAACAAGATCTTGAAAAACTGAAAGCAGTGCTGAAGCAAGAGAGAGAGGATCTGGATAGAGTGAATGACTTAGAGCTGATGAGATCTGAAATTCAGAAACAAAGTAAATTATTAGAAAAGGAGAAAAAGGACATAAAAGAGGGAAGACACAAGTTGGACATCATAAAGACTGAGCAACAAAGTCAGAGAGAAGATACTGATTCCCATATTGATGAGATGAACCATGACAAACAAGAACTGTATCAAATGAAGACAAATATTGAAAAGAAGAGGATGGAAGAAGAGCTGTCCAAGCTCAAAATTGGGGAGAACCAACTCACTAGTTTAATGATCTCCATAGAAAGTCTGAGGGCTAAATTCAAACAGCTGAATCAAAGGATAAATGAAGACTTTAGAAAGCATATGGACAGATTAGAGCAGAAACATGGACACATACTCCAGCTGAAGTCAATATTGGAACTTAAGTTTGATGAACTTGATAAACAGAAAAATAAGATTATTGGTTATTGTGACCTGATCCAAAGAGAGAAGAAATATGTGGTGACAATGAAGGTTGACATGGCGGTACAAACTAAAGTTGTAGCTAATATACTGCAGGAGGAAGATACTGAGAAGCAGGATTTGAATAAACCTAAAGACTTTGAGTGTGGGAAGGATGGTCTTCAGGCAGGCTTTGTTTTCCAGACTGAAGAATTAGTAGAAGAAGATTATTTTACAGATGAGGGAATGTCAAAAAGAGATTATTTGCGAAACATCTGGAAGGACACTAAAACAGA